GCGACAAGAGAGACAGGGTGGAGCAAATGTTGAAAGTCGGCAGAAACCAAGTTCAAGTGAGACCAGACGTTCCTAGCGAGGCTGCCTGCGTTCCAGGCCGGGAGGGCAGCCCGGACTCGCACGGGTGTCCCGGGACGCGCAGGCCCTTCCTTCCTTCCTCCCTCCCTCCTTCCCTCCCTGCCTCCCTCTGTCCCTCCCTTTCACTTCGGGGCGAGAGCCCACGTTCTGATCTTCCTAAGAGCTCGCAGCCGCCGCCCCCCCGGGACGAGCCCGTCAGAGCTTTACGTCCGTTGTCTCTTTTTCGAGTTCCCGTTTCAGACGAACCGAACATCTAGGGAGGCGCCGAGCACCCCGGGCGAACCTCCGATCCCCCCGCGGGATCACCGCCCGTCCGGCCACTAAGACGCAGAGCCAAAGCCGCGAGGCGTGGACTTTCTGTGACGATCCGGAGGTCGCGTGCGAAGGTGCTGACGGCCGCCTGGCGGGGAGCCAGCGCTCAAGGACGGGTACCCGGAGAGATCGATGCATCTTCCTCGATGACCTTACAGTCGCTGTCATCGTCATCGTCATGGTCAGGACGAGACTGAGGGCCGTGGGGCCAGCATACTGGTTTCTGTCTGGATCCAGCCCTCACTCTGCGGGGCTCACGAGGCTGTGACGTGGTGTGTGGGACGAGGGGACAGCGTCCCGTGGACTGGGCGCCCGTCTTGCACGGAGGAGCCTCCTGGCGCCCGTGAGCGTCCTAGGCCCGCAGACCCCACCGCTAGCCCGAGCCGGACAGTCCCGTGCAGCTCCGGGTTTCCACCTGCAATAAGCTGCGGCGTGTACGTCGCTCCTGGGGTGCCGTGCGGGGAGCCTGAAGGCATCGCCTCCCACTCGCGATGGGGGGCTTTCCACCCGGAGGCGTCCGGCCGCAGGGCGAGCAGCGGCGCTGCCGAGTGGACCCATGATGGACTTTGGGGACGTGCCCGGCGAAGACCTGCGGATAGAAGGGGCAGCGAGACGCGAAGGCACCATCCCTCTCTGTCACCTCTCAAGTTCTCCTCGCGCTGGCGGACAGGCTACCTGAGGAGGGGTTCCGTCCTTTACGGTGACATCTGCCTCCCTCACGGGAGATGCTCAGCTCAGCCTGACGTCAGGCAGGAGGGGCCCGCGGCGGGGGCCG